CACACACACACACACACACACACACACACACACACACACATAGCAAACATAGAAACTTTGCATTTGTTTCTTCTACAATATGTACTTGTTCAAATAAAAACAGTCCCCACGCTGTTTTGCATGCTGCTTCGATCCCCATTGTGGTTTAGAAAAGCGCGGAATAATGTGAACTATGTCTACAATAGTGTCGGTCGAAACGACGTTACTATGTTGATGTTCATTCAACTTCTCCCATTTCAATTTCTTGCAACTTGTCACGTGTTGCCGTTCACTGTCGACCTCCTTGTACCATTGCACAAATCCGCAGTTGTGTTCCATATTACCGCTGTCCGAGGGTGCGTCCACGATAAAAAACATGGCTACTGATGCAAAGTATGTGCATCCGTTACCTGCTCTAATTGTGACTTCACTTTGCAGTGGTCTCCCATGAAACTGTGGCGACGCTCTTGCAGTTTGAACAAGTGTGCTCTTGTTTGTTCCGTCATGTACGCAGGCGATGGCCAGGTGTGTCCGTGTGTGTATAAGCAGGTCGTCAGAAGGAGGTTGACAACCATTCTCCACCATGTATGTCGTAAGCGCAGATATCGCGTCTACAAGGAAACTCTTTGAGTATCTTACACGCATGGGTGTCAATGCCTTATTTCTCGCGTATGTACTCGTCATCGATGTCGAACCACTGCAGTTGCAGCATTGTCGTATCTCGTAATGCGAGGGTGTTCATTCCGATGGCCATACAATCTGTCACGGACGACCGGTTCTCAACCGTTCTCTTCCTCCGTTTCCTCACGATCTCGATCTCTTCGCGCAACGCCAATGACCGGCGTACGAGGTTCCTGAAGGAGAAGTTGTCATTCACATAATGCGTGCTCCAGACATTTCCCATGGCATCACGCATCATCATCCTCACACGACCACATGGAATCGGGATCGCACATGGCACCCAACCCCAGCTAGGATCCCTCCTCGCATTGCTCTCGTGGCACGCCGTACTCCCTGTTGCGTCGTTCCCACCAATCACCCATGACTGTCCGCAATCAAAACTGTCGTACAAAAAATCGTTCAGCCCGAACTCGCCCTGCGCCTCCAGAACACGCCACATTTCCAATGCATATCGCCTTTTCTCCTGTGGTGTTGCCTCATCGTTCAACCTTAATACTCTGTCAAACACGATTGACAGAGTTACATTTCGCCATGTATTCATTTTGGGGGCAGGAAATGAAACCCATGTCCCATTGACTTTGAACGAAAAGCAGGGTGTTCCTCCAACAATACCCGGTTGAACACGACCCGACACCCAATTGATGTCATATGGGTACTCTTCTCTCTCTGATGTCTTCACCACATTTTCATCTTTCACAATACACCCTGTCAGAGATGCTCTGCTTCCCAGACCTCCCTCCTTTCACTCTTCCCCAACCTTTTCCATCTCACAAGTGCTCGCTCCTGCGTCATTCTCTGTTTCATCACCATCACCCATCATCTCTGCAGTCTGTGCATACATTGTCGCAAGCACCTCTGCACAGTCTGTGGTGTTCCCTCCAACCGGATTTCCTTCCTTGCTGCCATTTGCAAAACCCTTCAGAATGTCCTCCGTCTCCATGGCGCATGTCTCTCCACCGTTGACAATCGATGCAATCGCGGGTTCCATCTATTGCATGAGACACCACATACATTTATGAGAACACGTAGCTGCGACATGGCCCCCTCACCTGAGAGAGAGAGAGAGAGAGAGAGAGAGAGAGAGAGAGAGAGAGAGAGAGAGAGAGAG